GTTTGGCTGATTTTTTTGTAATGTTTTTCTTGATTCAATCCTGTTGATTTCTTCTCTGATTTTAATTATTTCTCTTCTCCTACTAGATTTGGGTCTGGTTTGCTGTAGGTTTTCTAGATCCTTGAGGTGAATTGAAAGCTCATCTATTTGGTGCCTTTCCAATTTCTTGATGTAGGCACCTATTGATATAAACTTTCCTCTTAACACTGCTTTTGCTGTGTCCCATAAGTTTTGGTATGTTTTGCTGTTATCCTCATTTACTTCCAGAAAGTTTTTGATTTCTCTTTTGATTTCTTCTATGACCCATTGTTCATTCAGGAGCATGTTGTTCAATCTCCATGTGTTTGCATATGCTCTAGGGATTCCTGAGTTGCTAATTTCCAGCTTCATTCCTTTATGATCTGAGAAGCTGCATGGTATGATTCTAATTCTTTTGAATTTGCTGAGACTTGCTTTATGGCCTAGTATGTGGTCAATCCTAGAGAAGGTTCCATGTACTGCTGAGAAGAATGTAAAATCTTTAGCTGTAGGATTGAAAGTTCTGTAGATATCTGTTAGATCCATTTGGGCTATAGTGTCGTTTAAATCTACTGTATCCTTGTTGATCTTCTGTCCTGTTGATCTGTCTATTTCTGAGAGTGCAGTATTGAAGTCCCCCAGTACTATTGTATTGGGGTCTAAGTCTCCCTTTAAGTCCACTAACAAATCTTTTAGATAAACCGGTGCCCTGTAGTTAGGTGCATATACATTGATAATTGTTATATCTTCCTGTTGAACTGATCCCTTAATCATTATGTAGTGTCCCTCTTTGTCTCTCTTAACGGTTTTTGTGGTAAAGTTTATTTTGTCCGATATTAAGATGGCTACGCCCGCTCTTTTTTCATTTCTGTTGGCATGGTATATCTTTTTCCAGCCTTTCACTTTCAGTCTGTATGGATCTTTGTTGGAAAGATGTGTTTCTTGTAAGCAGCAAATAGATGGGTTTTGTTCCTTAACCCAATCAGCCAATTGGTGTCTTTTAACTGGACAGTTCAGGCCATTCACGTTCAATGTGACTAATGATAAGTGGTAACTTTGCCCTGCCATTTGCCAAAGATAAGTTCTAATATATGCTTTGAATTCCCTGTGATATTTTGCTGTGAGGTTTCCTTCCTTGGTTTCCTTCCTTTACCTTCTTTCATATTGATGACCGTGTTTCTTTGTTTCTGTGTGTAACACATCTTTAAGCATCTTTTGCAGGGCTGGACGAGTGGCAACAAATTCTTTCAATTTCTGTTTGCTATGAAAAGTCTTTATTTCACCTTCATTCACAAATGAGAGCTTTGCAGGATATAATATTCTGGGCTGGCAGTTTTTCTCTCTTAGTACCTGGGCTATATCTCGCCATTCCCTCCTAGCTTGTAGGGTTTCTGATGAGAAGTCAGCTGTGATTCTGATTGGAGATCCTCTGAGAGTAATCTGACGTTTCTCTCTTGCACATTTTAGGATCTTTTCTTTGTTTCACTGTGGAGAGTTTAATTACAACGTGTCGTGGTGAGGATCTCTTTTGGTCGTGTTTATTAGGGGTTCTGTGAGCTTCCTGTACTAGGATTTCTCTGTCCTTCTCCAAACCTGGGAAATTTTCTGCTAATATCTCACTAAAAAGGCCTTCTAATCCTTTCTCCCTCTCCATGCCTTCAGGAACTCCTAGAACCCGAATGTTGGGTTTTTTAATAGTATCCTGCAGATTCCTGACAATATGTTTTAGATTCCTAATTTCCTCTTCTTTTCTTTGGTCTGACTGTATCCTTTCCTGTTCTCTGTCTTCTAAGTCCGATATTCTCTCTTCTGCTTCACCCATTCTGTTTGTAAGGCTCTCTATTGTGTTTTTCATTTGATCTATTGAATTCTTCACTTCAGTCACTATCCCAGTTTCCTGTTGTACTAGTTGTTTCGTTTCATTTTGATTCCTCCTTAATATTTCATTTTCACGAGAGATTTTCTATCTTGTCCATTAAGGATTTCTGTAGTTCAAGAATTTGTTTTTGAGAACTTCTTAATGTTCTTATCAATTTTTTGAGATCTGCTTCTTGCATTTCTTCTATGTCATCATCTTCATAATCTTGAATTGGGGTGTCTTCTTCATTTGAGGGCGTCATGGTGACTTCCTTGTATTTATTACCTCGGTTTTTGCATTTGTTATTTGGCATATTGGAGATATTTGGTTTCTTCACTGTGGTGCTTTTTCTTGTTATACTATGACTCTAGATTAAGTGGACTATCTGTTTTTGATGGAGCCTTAGGGCTTGAGATGGGTGTGGCCTGAGAGCTCTGTTTGGTGTGCCAAAGGTGACACTCCCAGGTTAGGCGTGGTAAATCTCTCTCTCTCTTTTTTTTTTTTTGATTCAAAAGGGAAGTTATTCTGCACAGCTGAATGAAGTTGGAGGTAGTTAGCAGGCAAATGATATACCCATGGGAGCCAGAGATCAGAAGCTCTTTCCCAAGGACCACACAGGGAATCTGTTCGGCCCTCAGAGTGGGCTCAAAGTCTCCTTCAGTCTCCCACTGGGTTGCCAAAGTTATGGAATTGTAGCGTCTCTGGAGAGTGCTCACGTGAATTCCGTGAGTTCTCTCCCCCACCGTCTCTTTTTTCAGTCTCAGTTCAGTAGCACCACAAATTTGCTAGGTCCTAATCTCCTGTTAATTCGCCCCGGCCAGAGTCAGGTTTTTCTGCTAGGCTCAGGGCCGGTGCAGACCTGAGGTCGCTCTGCTTATGACGTATGTCCAAGATGGCGCCTGCTCTTTGTCTTGCTCGCCCTTGAGAGGTGATTGGAGAGAGAGAAACCCGTGTCCATACCAGTCACCTTTTTTTTTTTCTCTCTCTCTCTCTTCCAGTTAGCCTGGTGAACCCCCCCCCCCCCGCCCCGGGGTCGTTCCCTCTAGTCTCCTCTCTCCGCTTGCCTGCAGGTGTCTCGGGCTATTGAGGTTCGGCTTACCTCGCGTTCCAGCGCTGGTGTGCTGAGTCTGCCGCTGGTGTCCCGAACTGTGGGCTCCCACGCTCTCCACGCAGGTCCGCTGTGTATCACGCGTTCCAGAAGAGTTTCTTCTGCTGTTTCCTCCCCTACTCTTCCTTGAACCTGCAGTATCTCCACTTTTATTAAACTATCTCTCCCCGGACTATCAGTGTGCTCCCTTCCTATTCCGCTATCTTGCCTCGGATTGCCGCTTCTTGCTGATTTTTTCCTTGTTTTTCTAAGCCTTTTAGATGCATCATTAGATATTTAATTTGAGGTATTTCTTTTTTAATGTAAGCATTTAATGCTATAAACTTCCCTCTTAATACTGCTTTTGCTGTATCCCACAGGTTTTGATATGTTCTGCTTTCATTTTCATTTATTTCAAGAAATTTTTTGATTTCATTTTTTATTTCTTCAATCCATTGATCATTCAGTAGCATGTTTAATTTCCAAGTATTTGAGTGTTCTGTTTTTCTTGTTGATTTCTAGTTTTATTCCTTTATGGTCTGAGAAGACACACGATATGATTTCAGAATTTTAAAATTTGCTGAGACTTGTTTTGTAGCCTAATATGTGGTGTATCCTAGAAAAAGTCCCATGTGCTGATGAGAAGAATTTGTTTTCTGTAGCTCTTGTGTGAAATGGCCTATAAATGTCTGTTGGTCCATTTGCTCTGTAGTATGTTCCAACTCTAATATACGTTTATTGAATTTCTGTCTAGATGATCTATCCATTGATGAGAGTGGGGTGTTGAAGTCATCCACTATTATTGTATTAGTCTATCTCTCCCTTAGGTATAATAGTGTTTGCTGTATATATCTGGGTGGTCATGTGTTGGGTTCATATGTATTTATGATTGTTACATGTTCTTACTGAATTGAAATTTTTATCAAAATATATCCTTTTGTATTTATTTTTACAACATTTGACTTAAAGTCTGTTTTATCTGATATCAGGATAATTATGCATGCTCACTTTTGGTTTCCATTTGCTTGATATATCTTTTTCCATTCCTTCAATTTCAGTCTGTGTGTATTTTTGTGAAGTGAGTTTCTTGCAGGCAGCATATAATGAGGTCATGGTTTTTTATCCAGTCAGCTAAACTAAGTCTTTCATTGGAAAATTTAGTCCATTTACAGTCAAGGTTAGTATTGAAAGATAAGAAATAAAACCTGTCACTTTGTTTTTGGATAATGATTCTACCTGCTGTGTTACTGAATTTGGTGGTGTCCTATCTTTTCATGATGTTTACTTCTAATGCAGGACGCCCTTCAGCATTTTTGTAAGGCTGGTCTGGTGGTGGTAAATTTTTTTTTTTGCTTAATTGGAAAATACTCTATCCAGCAAAGCTATCCTTTAAAAGTGAAATAAAAATAAAGTATTCTTGGTCAGAAGATTTTTTCATCCCACTCTGTTCTGGCCTGAAGGTTTTCTGCTGAGAATAATGTAATTGGTTTTCCTTTATATGTAACAATGCTTTTCTCTTACTGTCTTTGGGATTTTCTCCTACTCTTTAACTTTTGACAGTCTGACTACAGTATACCTTGGAGAAGATCTTTTTGGTTGAGTTTGCTTGAAGTTCTTTGAGCTTCTTGTATCTAGATGTCCATGTGTTTTTCAAGACCTGAGTTTTCAACTCTTATTTCATTTAGCAGGTTTTCAACACCTTTTTCCTTTTCAGCTCCTTTAGGAATACCTAAAATATGAATATTTGGTCATGTAATGATATCTCATATTTTGCTTAGAACTTTTCATTCTTTTGATTTGCATATGTTTCATAAGTACAACTTTAGGAACATAGTAATTCTTCCTACTATACCTATCCTCCCACCCTTCTTCCTCCTCCCTCTCCTATTCCCAGTCTTATTTTTACTAAGATCTATTTTCAATTAACTTTATACACAGAAGATTAAGTCTTCTCTAGGTTCTCATGGACTTTCAGCCTTTCCAGAATGTCTTTTTTTTTTTTTACACATATAAACCAGTTTATTAGATTGTCAGTGATACTTTGAGACAAATTCAAGTTATTTTATTTTACTTCATATAAACAGAAGAAGGGAGGAAAGTTTTGAACTTCAAGCCTTGTTCAGCATGTGTGCAGTTAGCATCCACAAAAGCACCATCGGATATGGAAGAATTAGCACCACAGAATTTTAGGACCTAACTGTTAACATGCATCACCAAAAAACTTGGAACATGAGAACAGAAGTGGTATGTGGTATGGTCTATTCTGAGCAATACAAGGCAATTTATGATTTCTTTTCATACAGTACAATACAATCACAATCAATGAGAACCTTTTAAGTACAATACAGGACAAAAAACACCTTGTACCCTGTTAACACTAAAGCAGTTACAGATTTTAAAAAATGATTCTTGTAAGAGAGAGTGGGTTGAAATTATCCCTCCCCCCTCAATTTTTAAAATTCAGAGTTATATAGTTACATGATCTCTTAAGAAAGTATTTTCAAATCTATATGTCTCTCTCCCTCAATGCTGACAAATGGTGGTTTGAAAACTGAAAGGCTGGATGAATTAAAAAACAAAAACAAAAAAGACAAAATCCTGATAGAGTCAAGAAGGATTCCAGTGTGGTAGAAGGTACCACATGAGATCAGTTTGACAATGATGCCAATGCTGTTGATACTTGTCTTCCCTTCCGTGCAGGAATGCCAAGTACAGAGGCCTTGCATTCATGATGAACTTCAGTTCATTCCTTTCACCAAATGCCTTTATTCTGAAGTGGAACATGAGAGATTTATTCCTTATTCCTCAACTGTCTTTGTAGCATCCTTATGCTTGGTTTGGCAACAGTGAAAAGGGTTGATATTCTCTCTGGATTTAGGATAATTTGTGAGCTCACTTACCTTCAGGAAAATTCCATATTTATTAGAGCCCACATCAAAGTAGAACCTTTTATTGTCCACTCTGAAAGAAGTCCCCTCCGGGAGTTCAAGCAGGTCGTCGTCCCCACCTCTGCGTTCTTCGATGTCCCCTTCGCCATAGTCTTCGATCAGCTGAACCAAGGCATCCCGGAACTCGATCATCCCCTGGGCTGGGAGGACGATCGTCTGCTCCTGGCCCAAACTGTGGCCAAAATAGCCTATCATGCCAGCGCCCCGCATCATGGTCTGCCGGATCCTCAGGAAGCGACCCCGCTGGTTCTCCTTGAGGTCCAGGTAATACTTCCTATTGTCCCTCTCTATATAGTCCGTCTTGAGGACACTGTGCGGATGCTCCTCCGACCCCACGGACACGGGCGGGGAGGGTGCCGCGTGCTTCTGCCTCCTCCGGGAGCCCGGCTCCTTGCCGTGGCCGTGCTCGGGCCGGTGGCCCTTGAGGCCCAGGTGGGCGTAGTGCTCGATGAAGTCCCCCAGACAGTCCTTGAGCTCCGCGGCCACAGACAGGGACAGGGTCAGCTTACTCTTCCTGATATTGTCCTGCCGGCCTCTCCCTATCCACACTTCGGCTATCTTTAGGAAGCGGCCCCGCGAGCTCTGCTTCACGTCGAGGTAAAACCTCTTTTTCTGGATGTCCACTCGTTTGGAGGCCAGCTCCTGGATTTCGGCCGCGCCCCCGGCCTGATTGGGGGTGGCCGCCGCGGCGTAGTGGGGGTAGTGGGAGTGCTGGGCCTGGGGATAGAGTCTACTCTTGCTTAGGCCAGAGCCCCCTACATTCTTGCCGCCGCCGCCGCCGCCGCCGCCGCCGCCGCCTCCCCTCCGCCTGGCTCTTTCCATCTTCAGATCGTCGGTGCCATCACCGCCGCCGCCGCCGCCGATGCCCTTCACGACCACCGCCGCCGCCAGCTCTCGGCCCCTCTGCTGCAGCCGCCGCCGCAAGCCGCCGCCCCCCGCCTCCTCCCGCGCCGCCGCCGTTCGCTTCTCCCCCCGCCGGGAGCAGCCGGGCAGGAGGCATCGCCCGCGGGCGCCCACCGCCGCCGCCCCCTCCTTGTGTTCTGCGGGTGCGTGGGGCCGCCTCCTCGATTTCGGATCCGGCCCCTCCCAGAAAGTCTTTAAAGGCGAATTTGAGAGAAGAATCCTAAAAAAGGCGGGGGTCAATTAAAAAATATCTGCTGTTGGGACTAGTTCCATGATGGGAGGGGTTGGTGATTTTTTGAGCCTGTTATGTTACAAATAACTATGTTATATCTGTTATAGTTAATT